GCAGACTCACTACAACTAATTGCTTGTTTATATGTGGCAGGTTCAAATGACTCTACATCATCAGCTACACTCAATGCATAACCTGTCATCGCATCAACACAGCAATTTCTTCCCTCCATCTCTTCAATCAATCTAACAGGCTTCTTGATAACTCGTTTAGGCATCTCAAGAATGGTGTCAGGTTGACTAGATGACCCCTGATTAGATTGCTCCACCTCATCCCCAGAGTTAGAATGAGTAGGAGTAATCTCAGGTTCAGGAGTACCCGGCACTGGAACATCAGCATCATCATCAATATATTGTACCCGAGGTAAATCAGCAATGGTAGACTGATGTACCTCAAGTACCCCATCTGTCTGTAATAAATTGTCTCCTTCCCTTCTCAAATCTGAAATCTCTGCATTTTTAATTGAATACATGGTGTTTTCATCGAAAGTAACATCCCTACTAAGAATGACCCGACCCTCCGAAGGTGAAAAAATTCTAAACCCCTTCACACCATCCCCGTACCCAACAAAACACCCCTTCTTGGCTCGTGGATCCAGCTTACCCTCAATAACATGATAATAAGCAACACAACCAAAAATCTTCAAATTCGAAAAATTAGGCAACTTACCACTCCAGATCTCAAACGGAATTTTGGAATCAATTCCAGAATGAGGACCCCTATTAATGACATAACAAGCTGTTAACACAGCTTCACTCCAGTACCTCCTCCCAAGCCCTGCATTAGAGAGCATGCATCGAACTCTCTCTAGCAGTGTCTGATTAACCCGTTCTGCTACACCGTTCTGCTGTGGTGTCTTCCTGACAGTATGATGCCGACCTATACCCTCATCTGCACAGAACTGATTAAACTCGTCTTTGCAAAACTCTAGCCCATTGTCCGTTCGTAGCTTCTTGATCTTCCTTCCTTGTCGATTTTCCACCAAAGCTTTCCATTGCTTGAAAACTTTGAAGGCCTCATCCTTTGACTTAAGCAACCTAAGCCATGTGTATCGGGACTTGTCATCAACAAATGACACAAAATAGTGGTAACCTCCCATACCTTCAACTCTAGATGGACCCCAGCAATCTGAATGGATGTAATCGAGCACTGCATCAGTAATGTGAGCACCCTTGCTGAACTTTGACCTGTGTTTCTTACCAAACACACAATGCTCACAAAATTCAAGGTTGGCAACCTTGACCCCGGATAGAAGACCCCTCTTGGACAATAGCTGCATCCCCTTCTCCCCCATATGACCAAGCCTCATGTGCCAAATCTTAGTCATCTCCTGGTGAGATACAGATGCGCAAACCGCAGAACTAGGCAGTGTAACACCCTCAAAAACATAGAGGGTGTTCCTTTTGATACCCTTAAGTACCAACTCAGAACCTCTGAAAATACACAACTCCCCATCTGAAAACACACCATTGTACCCCAAGTCATCCAGGGTACCCAATGAAATCAGATTCTTTCCTAAAGCAGGAACATGCCGTACATTAGTCAAAGTTAACCTCCGCCCATCAACAGTCCTCAACCTCATGGAACCAATACCTGTGACCTTACATGGAGCATTGTTACCGACTATAACCATACCCCCATTGCGAGGTTCATATGTATCAAACCAATCTCGACGTGGACACATATGGAACGAACACCCCGAATCTAGAACCCAGTTATCAGATAAATCATCAGACCTAGCAGAACTGACTAATGCTAAATCTTCCTCTGAATTATAGCTCTCATTCGGTTTCTCTTCAACTACAGCAGCCTGGGACTTGTTTTTCCTCACCGGACAATTATTCCTAAAGTGACCCGGTTCTTTACAGTAATAACATGTTTTAGTAGTAGTTTTACTAGATCCATCCTTGCCGTTTCCAGCACCCGACCCAGCATTGTTCCCCTTGTTAAACCCCTTATTCTTTTTAGACTTTCCGGACTTAACAAACAACCCACTACCATTATCCCCATTATCACTCGTAGCTTTCATTCTGAGTTCCCTAGTATGAAGTGCTGCCTTCACTTCTTCTAAGGTTATAGAATCCTTACCAACAACAAAAGACTCTACAAAATTCTCAAAGCTAGACGGTAGAGATACAAGTAAAATCAACGCAGCATCCTCATCATCAATTTTAACATCTAAATTACGTAAATCAAGCAAAATAGAGTTAAGTTTTTCTAGATGTTCCCGTAAGGAAGTACCTGACTGCATCCGGAGGCTAAACAACCGCTGTTTCAGTAATAATTTGTTGGTCAACGACTTAGTCATATACAATGACTCCAGCTTCAGCCACAATCCAGCCGCCGTTTCCTGATCAGCCACCTCCGTGATGATTTGATCATCAAGACTAAGTAATATGGTAGAGTGTGCCTTCTCTTCCATAACTTCTAACTGCGAGTCAGTCGGTCCGTCTCCTGACTCCGAAGTAGTACTCTTTGGAGCCAACGGACGCCATATCTGCTGTTGTTTTAACAGAGCCTTCATCTTAATTTGCCATAGCCCGAAACTATTTTTCCCGGTAAACTTCTCAATTCTTATTGTTGAATCTCCTGCCATTGTTATCTTCAAGAAACTCTCCAAGGATTGAACCTGAGCTCTTGATACCAATTGTTGTGCGACAGCGGAAGCAAAGGTCGTAAACAAACAAGAAAACAATAAAGAAATTCAATGCAAACAATAAGAACAACACCAAGAATTTACGTGGTTCACTATCGATGTGATAGCTACGTCCACGGGCACCGAGATCGAATGATTTCACTATAAACTGGCAAAGATTACAAAGATTACAATGAAGAACTTAATCACTCAAAGTATTCTCTCTCTTGTGTTTCTCTCTCCGTTACCCTAATAATGATAATAGGAAGTTTATATAGTAGTGATTCCTAATTAAGATATACTTAGGTTACAATATCACAATATGATAAATATTAAATTCGTAATCGCTGAAAAAACCCAGATCGCCCGGTCGGGCGAAGGCCCGCCCGATCGGGCGCGAGAACACGTCTTTTCCAACAACCGAAGTACTCCAAAAACCCCTTCCGCCCGGCCCGATCGGGCAATGTCCGCCCGATCGGGCGGACAAAGCTACGAAGTACGAGTCACCTAATATACTTATCAACATTTTGTTTAGAGAAGATCCAAGCATTTCTTCTTTTCTAGATATGCCAAAGGCCCTGTAAATGATGTGCCATGGGATGTTATGATGGGATTTTATTTTGGATTTAAGGTTTCTAAGGATCCAATTTGAGGTTGATTCTTGGTTTGATTTCTGAAGAGCTGAAGGTACATCCATAAGGTTCCAGAATTCTGAGGCTCTGGAGCAATGGAGGAAGAGGTGTTCTGAAGATTCAGCTTGCAGAGGGCAGAAAGTACAAGTTCTGGATTGGGTTGCTTTTCTCAAGAAGAGATTTTCAGATGTTGGAAGTCTGTCCCACACCAGCTGCCAGAGGAAAAGTCTGATCTTAGGGGAAGTAGGGCAGGTCCAAATGATATTCCAGTCCCAAGTGTCTTTATTATCAGTTACAATAAAATCATGTTGCTGTAACAAGCATTCTCTAGCCTTGGTGCTATCAAATTTACCCCTCTTAGTCCAGGCAGTGAAGTTGTAATCATCATTTTCATTTAGTGAGATGCAGTCAATCCTATCAAAAAGATTCTGGTGAATCTGGAACCCTATAGTTTCCTTTAAAAAGTTATGTTACTTGAGCTTATCGTACTAGTATATGCTATCTAAGGAAGTAAGGAGTGTTGTAGGGTAAGACGACTTAAACGGTATACACGGAATTTGCTTTGATTGTAATTCTTACCATTGTTTATTAACTATTCATGCAAAAAGTTTTTAGCAATTTAATAGATAAATGAGAATAGAGTATTTTTGTTAGGAATATAGGAAAATATATTATTGTGATAATCTTTTTTTTTTTTTTTGGAATAACCATGTGATACGTGGGTTATTATTGGTGTATGTGATCAATATGAATGATCATATGTGATTTGGTTAGGTTGTAGTGTTTGAGTGTGCTTCCTCCATTATTGCATCTCCATGGAGATGAAGAAAAGCCACGTTTGGCGTATTGTTTATTATTTAAAAAAAAAAATTTGCAAAAGACCACGGACACCAGCGAAGGGCCTGGCAAAGAAGATCACGGACACCAACAAAGGGTCGTGGCAAAGAAGATTACGGACACCAGCAAAGGGTCGTGGCAAAGAAGACCACGAACACCAGCAAAGAGCCGTGACAAAAGACCACGGACACCAGCAAAGGGCCGTGACAGAAGACCATGGACACCAGCAAAGGGTCGTGGTAGCAAAAGTTCGTTTTTTTTTAAATAAAAAAATTTGAAGGCGACATCAACAGAGAGGTGCAACTCGATCGACTTCAACAAAGTGCGAATTTCCAATCGTAACGTTCGTGTTACTGCCGTTACGATTGCGGGAGGGTGTTAGGAATATAGGAAAATATATTATTGTGATATATTTTCCATATAGATCTTATGATATTATATTATAATAATATATCTTAGTGATATTCTAAGATAGATTTATGGAAGTTTATATGATAGAGTTTATATTGTGTAGGTTATCTTTTGTAGGCTATAAATAATAGCCAAGATCATCAATACAATTCAAGCTATTCTCTCATATATAATTTGTCAATTTTACAAGGTTACGAATAAAAAATTGTGCACCAAATTGACTAATAAACTTGTAAATATTAAACCCCAAATCATACCAATTTCAGAAAGAAGCAAGGAAAAATGAATATGTATATAATCTGATAAAAATTTCAAATTAAGCAAGAAATCTTTTCAAATAATAAATGCCTTAAAAACAATCGAAATTTTGCGACACCCAGAAAGTTCATACAACCAACTATGACGGTGATAGTCTGTCAATAATCTAGTCACAGTAACAGCAACTATAATCCCTTAGTTGCAAAGCAAAGTTTAAGCCACCTCCATTTGACTTCATAAAAACGTTAGCTTTTATTTGTACATTATATATAGCATTGCATTGTATTCATACGATTGATAAGGTGCATTGTACTATTTAATAAGCTAATTATTATTCGAAGAGAGGTTTGATCGAACACGTACGAGCATTACGACGAACATGGAAGGATTGAAGAGAATGTCGATGATGGTTGTAGTGGTGTTAATGGTGTTGATTGCAAAGGAAGTTAGTGCAACACAACATGTTGTGGGTGGAAGTGATGGTTGGGATGAGACTACAGATTATGATTCATGGGCTAAAAGTCAGACTTTCAAAGTTGGTGATACACTCGGTATGTTTGTTATATTCTTTTTTTTTACAAAATGGTTATCATTATTGTCAGGTTTTTTGGTCTAATATTTGCGGGTCAGACACTTTAATTGTGAGGAAGAAGGATATGAGATCCCACCCTCAAAGTGTCTCTAGTGGGGATTGAACCCCCAACCTCATTTATCTCGAACTCATTATTTGAACTTATTTTAAGTTATTAAATATTTTTTAGCCCTTATTAATTTGTATCAGAACAATCAAAATGTTAATTTCTTAAATTTCCCTGAACTTATCTACATGAATTTATTAACTTTATATTTACTTATTTTTCCTATAATTAGGTGAACATAATATAGGCTCGTAGTACTTTTGGGGTTATAGTCTCACATAACAATACTCACATGAAGTTAATTCTAATGTGATGATACATCCTTAACTTTAAGTAGACGTGTTGACCACAAAAAAAAAAAAAAAAAAAAACCTTATATGTAGACGCCTTGCTTTGAGCTTTGGCAATGACAAATTTGAATCTGTCATAATATTTTCACTAATAATTTTTTTTTAATTATTTTATTTTTTTTCAGTGTTTAAATATACTCCTGGATTACATAGCGTGATGGAACTAGGGAGTGAAAGTGAGTACAAAAAGTGTGACACTAGCAACGCTGCCAACTCAATGAACGGGGGTAACGATGTTGTTAAGCTAGACAAAGCTGGAACTCGATTTTTCACTTGTGGAACTGCAGGGCATTGTGGTGCAGGAATGAAGCTTAAGGTAAACGTTGTCGGCGCAACTGGATCATCATCTTCCTCTTCGCCTTCATCTTCATCTTCATCCTCGACTTCAGATGTGTCTACTGCTTACCAAAGCCTCCTTCGTTACACCCCAATCATGTCATCACTTTCTCTAGCCATGACCTTTTTACCAATGTTTGTGCTGTGAAAGGGTTCCTTTTGAATGGAAGAGTTATTTTTTGAATATGATTAATTGATGTACGTAGTCTTGCCTTGGTTTATGTATGTAATTTTGTTATGTTTGCTATATATTGACTTTGGTTGTAAACTTGTAATAATATTCAAATTGTAGGAGGTACGTACGGTTAATGGAAAATAATCTATGTTACTCCAACACCCTACTGTACAATACTTCGATATGACACGACAGCCATTTATATAATGGTCTTGTATGAAATTTTATTTTATCTTAGAGTGTCGAAGGATCTGACACCATACATGTCGGACATGATACCAAAATTCGAGTCTGAGCAACATAGAAAATAAGGCATAAGGATATGTTTATCAATGTCATATCCTTCATATTAGAAGTCCGGCCAAAAAATTAAGTTTTGGGGCTTGATTTTCATCTGTTCACATATTTGTCACAATAGAGCTTGTGAGAGCCACCCAATGTATAAATTGGTAATTTAAATCATTTCTAACTTAATTAAGGGAATGCTAATGGAGTGCATCACACACGAAAAAAAAAATGGAGGGAAAATGAAAGTCAAAGGCCAGAAACTTGATTTTTTACCAAAATCCGTTATCAGATTGAGCCATTTTAAAATCAAAACTTAATTGAGGTATTAGTTTTAAAAATAAATAAATAAATAAAGTAAGGTACTAGTTCACAAATTAACTTATAAACAAGGTACGGTCGTATTGAGTATTTTCTAACAATTTTGCTGAATTATTATGAAACAAAGCGAGTATATTACAGAAAGTTGCATCCAAAATTGCTAAACCAAAGAGATTATTCCCACATTTTGTCACCTTAACAAACCAAACATGTTAATCAAATAGCAAAACTATACATTGATCAATAAAAATTGTCTGATTAGTGTAATATTTGCATACTTCGTAATAAGGTCAACAAGTGCGGTGTTCATTTTCAATGAAATTTTGTGAATTTATTACTCGTACCAAAATTTCCACTTTAGTTAGCAATTTTTGTTTATGAGTTATGACTAGCGGCTAGCGCACAACATTACTAGTCATAATCGGGAGCTACTATATTGACAAGTATGACAACATAATGAAAAAAAAGAGTAACAACTATCACCTATTTATAGGGTATCGAGGTGTGGCTTTTCCCTCCGTAGGTAGTTTTATTATCTTTTGTTCTAGTTGGGTTTGCGCGTGTTTTTTTTTTTCCGTTCTTTTTCTTCTCTTGAATGTAAGCATCTTCATTGGAATAAAAAAAAAACCCTATTTATAGGGTATAAATAACCGCACATTATATATTGAGATATTATCAATGGTACACCCAAGGTTCGGGCTTTTATCAATGGTATACCAACTTAGTTTTTGTTTATCAGTGGTACACCCAAGGTTTCACACGATTATCAACTATACACTTAACGTTAAACAAACGTTAAGTAAAGGTTAAGTAGGGGTTTAATTCGATTTTTTTAACTTAAAAAATTCCCTCCCTTTTTCCCCCTCTTCATTTTCCCTCCTTTATGTACTCTGTCCTACCCACCCCCTCTTCCTCTATATATAGTTTCTCTCCTTTCTGATTTTCCCTTTTCACACACAAACATACATATATCTACTCAAACACACCCAATTCGAATTATTTGTGCAAAAAATACAACAATAAAGCAACAAATAATAATCTCAAGAACATTATGCATAATTTAAACCATAATTCGCTAACTATTAACCAAAATTCAACCATTTAAACAAAAAGTTCATATACTACCAAAACTAAGCGAAAGTCAGAAAATCAAAGACTCAAATGAAAACTTACCTTAAGCGATCAACAATGAAGTGCAGAATTTGCTAGAATTTTGTTCAATTCGCCCGCCGATTATGGAACCTCACAGCAGCAGAAAAAGGGGAGAGAGTGAGAAGGAAGAAGAAGATTATGAACGATCTTCTGACTTAGGAGTTTTTAATATAGGTAGTTGAGGTTTGAAAGGAGCGATTTAATGTATTTGGAGTAGGGGGCAAATTAGTCATTTCATTTTAAGTGGATTAACCTAAAATTAACCTTTAATTAACGTTTGATTAACGTTAGGGTTACTGTAGATGAGTGTATTAAACCTTGGGTGTACCGCTGATAAACAAAAACTAAGTTGGTGTACCATTGATAAAAGCCCGAAAATTGGGTGTACCATTGATAATTTCCCTTATATATATTTTTAAAAATAATAATAATAAAAAAAAATCCTAATGAGGGCAAATAAATAATTCATAGTCATCATTATTCTCATATTTGTAAAATTTAATTACTATATAAATAGAAATGATATTTACCTTTTTTTTTTACATTCACATTCAATTAACTAATTAATATGGAAAATAGAATAGCAAAATATAATCTTTGTAAATATTTTTTAAAAAATACAATATTCTACTATAAGTTTTTATGTGGCAAACATAATATCCATTCCAAGGATACAATTGAGATAGACAAAAGTTAATGACTAAAAATGAGATATTACAAATTTACAATATATGATCACTGATAAGTATATACGTACATAAATGTTATTGTCAATAACCGTACATGACACGGGACCTAACCTATTTAAGAAAAAATTTAGAGGCACATCATATTAATAGGGACATGTATCTAAGGTTGGAAGGATAATGATAATTTTATTTTCAAAAAAAAAAAAAAAAAAAACTTGTATTTTCTCAAATCTCAATACATGAGAATAATGATGACCGTTGATATATATAGATTGACAGTTAACGTATCGTGTAATTTTCCTCCAATATCTCTACGAGTTTATTTTAGGGACTTCTATTCGGCTTAATTTTAATTCAATTTCTAATTTTCTTATCTTATAAATAGTTCATTTTAGCTCAATTCTGTTAACTTCAATTCAGCCTCAATCAATTCAGTTCAGTTAAGTTGTTTTTAGTAAATCGAAACAGACCCTTAGTAGTACTCCTTTCGTTTTTAAATACTTGTTCCATTTTTTTCCTGCACGGAGTTTTAGGAGAAATTAGAGTAAATAATAAAATAATGAAGTAGTGGGGTAGGTAGAAAAATAAAACATTGTAAAAATCAAAAGTAAGGGAGAGAATTGTAGAGAGAAAATATAAAATTAATAAAATATGATTTATATGGAATAGAAAAATTAATTAAATATTGTAAAAGTTTTTTAAATAAGGAAATGAAGCAACTATTTAAAAACGGCCGAAAGAGAAAAATGGTGTAAATATTTAAAAACGGCCGAAAAAGAAAAGTAGAACAAATATTTAAAAACGAAGCCGAAGGAAGAAAGTGGAGGAAGGAGCAAGTTTTACCGGTTACCCCTGCTGAAATTCTCACATAATCCCTTTTACGCCGCTCTTCTCCTCTCTCTCTCATTGAACGTGAGTTCTCCATTGAAGCAGTTTCCGAGCTTCCTTTCCTCCATTGATTCTGCTTCTGAGGTATGACATTCGTTTTCTATTTGAAGTCATTGAATATCAAATTCCCTATCTAGGGTTTAATTTTAATTTAATTTCACAAATTCACTCTATCGTTAATTAAATTTAATTGGCAGTACCCATTTCAGGTTTTTTCTGAGCTAACTCATTGAACTATTGATTACAATTAACAAATTATTGAAAGATTATAACATCGTTCATATTTTTAATATGTTATATAGTTTTTTTCATTCTTGCTTTTCAATTTAAATTCCATGTAATGAAATGATTATGCTTTAATGAATTCTTTGCATAAATTGGTTCCCTATAAATATTATTGTCTTCTACAAGTATCCCATCCATAATGTGGAGCATGATGCTCAATTTCTACTTGTAAAATGTTGGAATTTTACTGGGTTTTGTTAATTTTGGAGCTAACAGTTTTAAAATTTGTATTTTTTTTAATGTATAATCCGATGGTCTAAATGACTAAATTAGTATGGTTGTTTATTGTGAATTGAATGTATACGATATACTACTTTTGTATGCTGTATTGGATGAATTTGAGAGCTAATTTTAAAGCAAATGATATGGTGGCTTACAGGTTAAATGGCAGCCACTACTACAAGCTCGATTTCAGTCTCCTCTTCCTCATCATTGAACTCAAGTTCTCGACGTTGCCTGTCCTCTTTGGTTCAGTCCCGACATTGTTCTTTTTTAAGGAACAATTTGACTTTGAATAAATCTTGTAAAGGACGTCGTAGTTTTCAAGTTGTGGCTGTGTCAATGGCCCCTGAAACTCAGGGGAGAGCCTCCTTTTTAGACCGGAAAGAGAGTGGATTTCTTCATTTTGTCAAGTACCATGGACTTGGTAATGACTTTATTTTGGTAAGCAATGCCCCCATATATTGATTGAATTGAATTATTTGTCATGATTTCTCTTGTTTGTGGAATATTCTTGTTTAACTTTTCGGCCATTTACCTAGTTTGTTTGTGCTGAGTAGGTTGATAATAGAAACTCAACTGAGCCCAAGGTAACCCCTGAACAAGCAGTGAAGCTATGTGACCGGAATTTTGGAGTGGGAGCTGATGGCGTGATCTTTGCAATGCCTGGAACTAATGGTACTGATTATACTATGAGGATTTTCAATTCTGATGGAAGTGAGCCAGAGGTGTGTATATCTTTGTGAACAGTATACTTATTGTACCAGTTTTATGAGGATGAAATGTGAGTTTTCATTTTGAAGTTTGGATCTTGTTTATATGATTGTATTCTCTATGAATTTTAAGTCTACTTTCTTTTTGTTGAAATTACTATTACAATTTACAAGTTACTACGACAATGCACTTGTTTAAGTATAAACTTTGCAATTCTTTCAAAAAAAAAAAAAAAGTATAAACTTTGCAATGGAGGTCACCTATAAAAATTAACATTTCAGACTACATGGCAACATACCTTAATTGACTGGATACATATATTGTTATGGTTACCTATCGTAGTTGCTCCAATCAAGTGTAATATGTTTTAAAAAAGTAAATGTTTTTTTTAGTACTTCTTAACTGATCTTTTACTGAATTTTTATTTATTTTTAGATGTGTGGTAATGGAGTGAGATGCTTTGCTAGATTCATTGCCGAGCTCGAGAACTTACAAGGGAAACACAGGTAATTGCTTTTCGACCCAATCATTATCTTCTAACTTCATTAAATGATTAATGACTTTTCTTTCTCGCCTTATGATTTTACCTATTAGTAATGACTAGTTGTTAGTGATAAAAAATGCTTGACCTGTTAAAGCATTGATAGAGAACTA